CACTTTTTGTTTTGCCAGACTGGTAAGCAATATTTAACTTCTTAATAATTTTTACAAACTATAATGCATAAGTTCTCACTGTTTCCACCATATTTTTTTATTGATTTTTTTTTTTTTTTTTTACAAGTTAACTCTGTAGCCTTAGGAATATATCAAATTCTTTGTTAGAATATGTTTTCAGACCTTTTATTCATGAATATCTATGTTTTAAGAGCTTACTGATATTTATAGAGTATTCTCGGAGATTTCAACAAAGAACAAGAAGCCTTCTTAAGAAGTAAAAGCTCAGGATCTTGTGATACACCAGTAGCACCATGGGTTGGATATGTTGATGAAGAGACTGTTAAACAGCAGATATTGTCATTATCAAAGGTAAGTGTGTGTGTGTGTGTATGTTATTACTGTAAGTGACAATTTACAAGTCATAGTGAAACATTGGATTTTGTATTGATGAATAGAGGTAAGTACATTTTTGGTGAAGGAAAATGTTAACTTTGTGTAGTCTTATTCTGTTCAAAATGATAGGTTTATCCCATCTCTTTATCTTGTATTCTGTTCCAGATAAGTTTATCTTAACACGTTATTGCAGATGTTAAATTATTGATAATTTAAATCAAACTTTTACATTAAGATATAATTTACAGTTGTTATGAGTTTCAAGGATTTCATTAAATAAAATTTTGTTTGTAGCTTTATAATCAGGTATTTCTTTATATTAGACCAAAAGAGTGTCAAATAAAATAACGTAAATGATCTTTATTTTGGCTGTAGGACAAACGAAACTTCATGCGTAACCCACCAACTGGAGTACAGTTTCAGTTTAGTGTGGACAGTATATATCCAGTTGCTAGTATCATGTTAGAAGAAGACCCAGAACTAAGAAAGATGAGATTTGAGCTTGTTCCAAAATTGTATTACATTTTTTATTGTCTACCCTAAAATATTCATATTTGTGTCTCAGATGTTTTTCATATTTAAAGTACACTGCTGATACCAAACAATAATTTGACTTTGTAATGTCATAGTTATGATAAGGCCAAACCACTGTTATAAAATAATATCAGTCATTCCTTAGCTAACATTTATTAAAATCAAGCATTTGATGATCAGTCTTGTGGCCTGAAATGAAGTAATGGGTATTAAGGTTTAGATGCGCAAATGAACATGTGGTGAATGTGATTTAACATCTCAGTAGTTCAGGACATTTACTTCAAATGGTTTAGCAGCTTGTTACCAATGTTGCACGCTTAAGTTAGAAATATTAATAAGGTCCTTAGCTATTTTTGATCACTCCTCTGAAAAAGCTATTTTCAGGGCATTTTGCATATTAAATCAGTTGATGGAATCTGATGTCTCTCTCAAATATTGAAGTTTGGTGAGTATGAAGGACAGATGATTCTCTTCTTTAAAGAATGTGTCAATCAATCCAGCACAATGGGTTAAGTATTGTCTTTTGTAACAGCATGTTGTTGCATGAAGGCAATGGGATGTGGTCCCCAACATGTATGTCATTAAAGGAACCATACAGCTGGTTTATAGGTCGGTATGCTCATTAATGCTTATTCTTCTCACACCATACTTCCTTCACTGTCATTAGTGTAACATTCCTGTTTAAAAATGTGGTGGATCTGATTCCTATTCTCTCCAAATTAATATAAGCCTGTTGTTTCTCTTCACCCCGTACAAAATAGCGTTTAGTCCAATAGCGAGAATGATAATTTAGTGCTAACATTAGAAATTTAAATCTGAATGGGCTTAAACAGATTTGTTTTACTTTTAGTGGTTCAGGCATAAAGTGGGAGAGCTTTATAATTAACTTTTGCTGGTAAGTGAGCTGATGTGCCCACCTCAAGCCATTAGAAAAGCCATGAATGTGAAGATCAGTGGAAAAAGAAGGAAGAAGGGGAGCTTCTTGAAGTCTGTCTTTGCGGCTTCATCTTGGACAGTGTAGAACCAGAGCATAGAGATGCACGTGATATTGTTGATACATGTGGTGTTGTCTGTCCATGTGGTTGTCATCAGTCAGAGAAATGACACACACAGTGTAGAGCAGAGAGATGCAGACCAAGCATTTCTGTTTGAAACTTTACTGGAAATTTAAAACTGATTTAATCCACTAGTTTTGCAGATTAGGGGTGAACTGATAATTTGAATAAATAAATAAATTTTAGACTGATATAACCATCTATATTTGTTTATTTTAGCAAAAACTTAAATAAGTTAAGCCATACTAAGATGTAGTCCTTTTCAGGCCTGGGATCTAGAAATCCAATCCTTAAAAATGTTGCTGTATCAGGGTGTATGGTGCAACTCATGTTTAAAAAGGAATATTACTCCATATCTTGTTGGCCCGTTAGAAATGTTCTTTGCATCATTGCAGATGGGTTGTTTTGTGTTTTGTTCTGAGGGAAGTGTATTTCATTTTCTGTCTGATACTAATCATCTGTGTACCAAACAGCACTCAGTTGCATCTGTGAACGTCTGCTTCAGTCTCAGAGAATGTATTTTAAGGTTATAGCAAGATAGAATTGATAGGTGTCAGTCATCTGTGAACATTGTGGAGTCCCCCGGTGGAATGGCAAGAAGTTTACAGTATTACAATGCTGAAATCCAGGGTTCAAATCCCCTTGGTGGACAAAGCAGATAGCCCAATGTGGCTTTGTTCAATAAAAACAAACAAACACATTTGTGGATGTAAGTTTGCCTTGTCCAGTTGTCCAAACAACTATACTATTGGTATGGAAGTAGTTCCTCAATCTACTAAGAACACTCTGAGATACTTGGAGCCAATTTCCAACATCCTGCTGTGATTAGCTGTCTTTTATTTGTCTGCTAACTTCACACATTGAGTGCAACATTCAAGTGTCTTCTTTGGGGTCTAGCAATCGTTCCTGAAAAATTTGGAGTGCCTTGACCTCCGTAATCTACTTCCAAGTGAGAAATAAGTCGAGATTTTGTGAGACCGCTTTATATGGTCTGATTAACCAGTAATATTCTTTTCAGATCACTTGACTACTTATTAGTTCCTAATTGTCATAACAATTAACTTAGGAGTGATTGATATTGTTTTGTAACAGTAGTTTTTGCCTTATTAAAATTACAAATTCTGATTATTCTCTAATTGTTTGAGCACGATTTGTGAAAACTGTTATTTGATCTTATTGGCATTTGTACCACAGAAACTATAACGTAGTTTCTTTAGTAATTCTATAAAATGTAGATTAATCCTTTTGGCAATTTTATTAATTTCAAATTAATTATTAATCAGATAAAAACTAACTTTGTATGTGGTTGTGTGTGTGTTTTTTAGAATTATTATTAGTTTTATGAAAATGTAACTTGATCTTTTTTTGAGAAAATGTAACTAGTATTTGTGGTGGTGGTCTTAACATATTAAAACATATTCTCCTCTGCTTTCAGTTATAGGTTCTTAGAATTAATACTGTCATTGATTTGTAGACACATTACTGAATTATCAGTTTTATATCAAACTACGGTAATAGTTTTAATACATTTACTGTAAAAACTAACTCAAGTAGGTATCAATTAATGTTCAGAACCATTGTTGTAAATAATTATTATTAACAGTTTTTTCTCAATTTTTAATTTGGTAATGTTAGCAACTGTTGTACAAAAGCTGTAACTTGATATTTTTGCTCTGCAGTGTCAGTGAGGAAAATTTCTGGAGAAATTATTTCTACAGAGTTTCTCTCGTCAAACAGTCAACCCAGCTAACATCAATGACACAAGAAAAAAGTATGCAAAATATTTTTTTATTTTTGGTGTAGCAAGATTATAATGTGCAATTATAAAAAAATATTTCAATAGAATGTCAGAAAAAGTTTTAATTTGTAGATTTGTACCAGCAGGTTTTCAATAAAAGTAAGAATTCTCTGAAAAAATGAAGTTTAAATTATACAGTAGGAAAAACTGTCTGAGAATCAAAAGAGTATAAAATTAAGAATAAATGATACATTGTATTTTGAATTAACTTCAGTGATTTGCAGAGATAGTCAGTATACAAAGCTAAAACTAAATAGCATTTAAGTTAATCTTATTGGATTTTAAAGAGTATCACACTAGTTTAAAGTTAATTGAAAGTATGTGTTGAGCTTATTTTGTCTTATTTAATTTTTTTTTTATTTATGCTTATGATCTCAAGGTTTTTACTGGACTACACTACATGTATTCTAATGCAGGACTAAAGATTTGTAATAATTTTCTATGAAAACCAACATTGTAATTGTAGACCTTGAGTGTTCTGCAATGCAATATAGTTTTCTATTTTAGGTTTAAAGATATTGACTGCAGTTGGGAAAAAAAAAAACAGCAATGAATAGTGGTTAGGTAAAAGAAGTTCATATTGTTGGTGGATGGGGAGAGACTTTTTGTAATACATGTACCAGAGATTTGTGCTTGAATAATAGTTTGTAATTTCTTGAAATATCAGTAATGATATACAAGTTCCTGCTTGACACTCAGCTTTATAAATAATTGCAATGTTATAAATAATTAATACCTATAAAAGTATTCCCTAGTGGCTCAGTGATAAGTCTGCATGCTTACTGTGCTAAAATTCAGGTTTTGATACCTGTGGCTGGCAGAGCACAGATAGCCCATTGTGTTGTTTTGTGCTTAACAACAAAATCAACAACAACCTATAAAAGTACTAACAAAGGAAGAATTCCGAACCTACTTAAAATCAGCCAGCTGATAGTTGATTTACTTGAACTTGCCAAAATATGTCAAATCGATCTGAGCTAGTCACACCAGGTGGTTACTTGAGTTAACCATCAAGCCAACAAATTCTAAGGTAAACCTTAGCAAACTATTTAGAAGAGTAGAAAATGTTTCAGAATTTTACAATCTATCTTGTAACCATCAACATAGCTTTATGGTTACTAGATCACCATCAGACTACGTGTTTGAGTTTTTTTCTTTACAAGTGACGTGTATGATTAAGTGCATAGTGCATTTGAAACACAATAAACATACCACAGTCACGAACGTGTTATTTGCATTGTTCGTTATACTTACATTTTAGAATCAGTTTGTATAGGTTCATAAAACTGTGGGTACATTATAAATAAATATTCTGTTCTAACTGTTTCTTTAAACATTTATGTCTATTTAGCTTCTGATATTTTTGGCAGGCTGCAGACCTTCAGTCTTTTAGTCTTGCATACCTAAAGCAAACAGACTTACTATTTCTTTGTTTGTTATTTATTTGGTTCATTTTTGTTCCTTTGAGGTATCTGTGTTTTTTAATTTTCATCCATGTAAGGTAAAGAAAATGTTTCAACACAACTTAATGTAACAATGTTTATAGAAAATAACAAATAGGACCTTATTTACTAGGTACTTTTTAGTTACATGATAGTCTGACAGTACCTGGTAATAATGAGTTTATTTAAATCTTGGAACTTTTGTAAATAAAATCTATCTTGCATTTTTATTTTATTATTCTCACTTGTTTAAGAAGGTGGGTCTTCTACAGTCTATTCAGCAGCTCTTACACCTGAAGAGAAAAGTAAGTCATTGGTTTTTAAGTTTTATTTATTTATCCAAACTCAGTAGCTAAAATATATATTATTTTAAGGTCAAACTGACTGAGTTTGAATTCATATCTTTTACAGTATGTGTTTCTTTAAGTTATTTTCTACTTATGTAAAGATATATTAAAACAAAGGCATATTTGCAAAATAAATATACATCACTGCATAAGTTTAAAGAAGTTTTTTGAAATAGAATAATTTCTCATTAATTTTCTATCGTGTTTTTTATATTCATTTTTTATTAGAACTGTTTTCTATAACATTCCGAACTCGAGACAGGAAGTTGTTCCTGCAAAGTACTCTATTCTTAAGAAAGACTAAACATTTTATCTTAAATTTGTTTTCAGATTTAGTATTATCAATGAAGAGTTACTTGTAATAAATACGTGTATCAGTACAGTTACAGGGATCACACACAACTGGGCAAAATGCCTTTAAACTTTACCTTCATACTTCACTTCAGTTAATTACCCACCATACTGAAGATCAAACATGTGGGTTTCCAAACTCTTGACATAAGGCAGTTAAATTGCCATTCTTATCCATACTCTTCCAACTTGACAGGCATAATCTTGGTAGAAGCCAATCAGCACACTTGATCTGATCCTTGCACCAAGAATATGTCAATACCAGTTACACAAATCAGTTGTTACTGAAAATTCATGTCCAAAGAAAGCTTTTGATAGATATAATTGGATTAATTATTTTCAGTGGGTTATGGAAGGATGTTGTGTCTTTTTCAGAGCATAGATTGTTGTATTTTTAATTGGATTGTTTGTCATGGGAGGTTTAAGTAATTAATCTCTGTACGGGTTTAGGAGATTTGACTGATCTTGTAACCACCATAAAAAATTTTGAAATAAATATAAATTATGCCTTTTTCATTCTAGAAAACACAAATTATAACACAAAAACATAAA